GATGGTTTTCAATGAATAGGAATCATGAAAATTCAGGTAAAGATTCAATTTATTCAATAGTATTGTTAGTTTGCATTGAATATTGAAAGCAAATGAATGGATAACCAAATTCTTGAAAATACTTTGATATGTCATAAATAATAATTTATGTAATATTCAATTAGAAAAACTATTATTTACCATAACATCCGACACAGAGATGACCAGAATTTGGGCGTCTAAATGGGGATGGAATTTGTAAAATATACACATGAATATACAATCAAATCAGATTACATACACATGTTAGAGAGAGAGGGAGAGAGAGAGAGAGAGAGAGAGAGAGAGAGAATTTTGGCAATTGGAAAATAGAGGTCATTGATGGCATTTTTGGTAATATTTCTTTATGAATAAGTTTTGGTGTATTATTTGCATTAACTATTGATTTGGTGGTGGAAATGCCAGGTCTGAGCTTTTCTCTAATTAAATCGTCTTTTTATTGAAGAGCAGTGAATAATAATAGTGTTTGCCGTTTGGTTGGATTGTAGTGAGGACTGGGACTATACACACATGTATGGGCACTGTTAGTAATTACACCACATTTAGCTTTATTCTGAAGAGACCCACATCTAAGTTGTCTTTTGGTAAACGAAAAGCCGCTTAATATCTCTATTAGTGTTGAACTGTTCCCAACTCTCACCTCTGTTGTGCACTCATGTGTCTACTTGTGTGGGTAATACCTGTGCAGGTAATGCCTGTATGCGTGTATCTTACATATCGATTCATGTATGAGAGCCTATAAATAACATGAAAAGCCTTTTCGTGTTGAGGTGTGTGTCTGTATGTGTGTAGTGTGTAATGCATTGAAATCATTACAAACATTAATTCACTCTCAGGTGAAATGAATTCCTGTTTTTTATTCACTCTATCCATTATGAAGACCCTATAATTTTTAAATAAGCCGGCAATCAGTGGAGTTGCAGTGGATTGCAGTGGAGTTGCAGTGAGTCGCTAAGAAGAGGAGTTCCAGTGCCACAGCTCTGGCCGACCACACATGAACACTGCCTAATACTATCAATACACACATACCTGTGCTATGAATATATAGCTTTCTTTACGTCTTCACTAATGAAACTTTATTAGAGACAGAATACTATTCTTTAGTCGAGAAAAACACTGATTTCGGGCCACAACTCCAATTCAACACGACTTGTAAAACAATTTCTTAGTTTTAAACACATTTGAGTCAATTTGACAATTTATGGCACTGAATGCATTACGGCTGAACCGGCCGGTGCACCAATTCACATGTTCACTCTGTTTGCAAGCCATCCCTGTCCTACTATATGCGGTTGTCTTACATTAGCGTCACTTATTTAATGTGCGATATATGAAGAAAACATTGCCTATACTTTGCTGTCATACAGCATAGGATGTAGTGGTAGGTATGGTAGGTATGGTATGTTCGGTGCCGTTTAGGTGGGCACAGGTACGTGAGAGGAAACTGTAGGCAAATATTCCGTTAGTAATATAATTGATTCACAAGTGTGTAAAACAAATGGCACTCCAATAAAGCAAACAATTGTTTGATGTTTAATGGAATACAACTTTGTTTGTATTGACTTATAGTCGAGTAGAGACACAACTAATACTCAAATAGTTGTGAATTGAAATCAACACTAAATTTGTTGAAATTGGATAAAAGCATTTGAATTCTTGTAATGTTTGTCAGTTTTAACGCTTCAATACATTTATACATTTAATGTTTATATGTTTAGCATATTTAACGCTATCCTAACAGAACCGAGAATACACTATATCTTAAGAGTACCAATACATGCAATTCAACCAATACCATCAATACCACCTAGTACATATACTGCACATATAGGTATTACTGTTGAAATTTAGTTTGTATACAAAGCGCCAGCAAAACAGATCGCCTCTCATACCGACCCTTCACTTACAATACAAAACATAACAAAATGAATTGTGTTTCGCGAAACTCGCTAATCATTTAAATCTGTTCACTATTTTCTACTAAACAATCACTTCTTAACGTATATAAGCGGGTATTACGGGCTGTGAATCACCAAAAATAAATGTCACCTTTAGTTGGGAACAGTATGTGTTCGCGTCGGGACAGGTAGGGCTCTGTAGGGATCTTTAGGTACTGACCAACAGCACAATTAGCATTTAGCCCTGTAATCATGATCACTTTTCATCTCATATCCAAGTGCTTATAATTCATGTGTTTGCCATTGAAATAAACACTACGGCATTCGACAATGTAATGTACAATATAACCATGTACAGTACATACAACCATGTGTAGGCCTGAGCGCTGTGTTCGGTCCGTACGATAGCCTGTAGAGTTGGTGTTGAGCCAGTACTGTGCAGACCATGTACACCATGTACACCGTGTACACCATACAGACCACCCTGAATGGCAACTGAATGGACAGAGAGCCGTAGGCTGTGGTGTACGTCCGGACTCTGATTGCAGGTCTAATTCGTTACACACTTCACGACAGACAAAAGAAGTGAAGATGAATGCATCAAATGTTTCCCAATGCCTTCGATGCCTCCCTCTCCTCCAATACATGCATTCAATACACATTTGCCTCAACATTAGCTCCAGTTTACAGCAAAACTTGTGTCTCGTAATAGAGATATATTTCTAATAACCTGTACTATTGATAGCGTATAATATTTAGCACTTATACTACAGAATCGGTACATTCCGTACAGTACGGGCCATAGTATGTATACTTTTCAGTATAGTATTGTGACGGTTCTGGTCATACCTACCACTGCATTGCGTATCACAATACATGACTTACATGTTTTTCATGTCCTCTATTGTTATACTCATACAAACAAATATCCAAAAGAAATGACAATAGATTTCGATGAGAGAAGAATGTGTTGAAATGGATTTGCGCAAAACTATTTGCAACAAGGTTTGCAAGCAATGCGATAGGACTACTACAATTCAGATTATACAAAATAAAATAGATACATTTATCATATTTTTACTGATATAGCAGTGTTCATTGAATTAAAATTAACTCCTGGGAATAATATTACACATAGGATTAGAATTATTCTATAAAAAGAATTGCAAACAATTTGATGGGTTAACTACAATTCGGGATAAGTTTATAAAAATGTTTAAATTATCTGTTATGTAACACAACAAACAAGCCGTGGGTATTATTATCTACATTATATTATTAGACTTCCCCTTCTAAATCTTTCTATGTTTTTGCATAGTCTTTATTATAAAAGTCTACCCACCCCTCCCCCACCCCATGGCAAATATGATGGGCTTAATAGAGCGATCTTATAAACTACAATTTTGATACTGAATTGTAGTTAAAACGTTCATAAAGTGTCTGAACTTTCTGTGCAATCGGTCGCTGAGCTCACGAGTAGTTCATACAGTTTTTTGTCAATTTTACAGCTCTTTTAATGGATATATATATTTGTTTTCTGTCAGAATAGGAACGGAAACACAAATTACTGGTGGAGTTAAACAATTCTTGAGCCATAATTTGAGTCAAGTATTCACTACTTCATTGCAATTGATTGTTAATATATAACTATTGGAGTACATTGACTGAGCTTTAAGTGGACTGTTTGGATGACCGTCTAATTGATGGAAATGTGTTTCATTTGTTTATTTTAATAATATATCCATTTGTATAAGAATTGATTTCATCAAAATGTAAATCCCTGTGCAGTTATGTCAGCGCAACCGGACATGTATTGCATAATTGAATAGACATTTGCACACATTTTCTCGGCTCATAGCTATGCTAGAAGTGCTCTGTTTTAGTGAAAACTTATAAATTGAACCAAAGATGTAATGCTAGACAAGGAATACCTCAATACAGATGAGACCATCACTGATGACCTCGAGATTAATACCTAATATGACATAAGTTTGACTGATATATCGCACTCAAGATCTAAATAATTGGATTGTAATGTTTGTAATGCTTTTGCAATGCATTGTTGTGTCAATTTTAAGCCAATTCTCAAACATTGACTTTTCCATACTTTTCCATACATTAGCCCTTAAGATATTTGATAAGAATTTTACAAATAAAACAATCGCTTAAATACCTATACATTTGAGACCATTATCTCATTTAATACAGTATAAGATTTACATTTTCCCAATTTATCACTCATTTTAAATATTATAAATACTACACTAAATATTCACTTATTCTTTATCTAAATTTAATTATGAATTCTTCTGTCAAAATGTATTTAAAACTTTTCCATTTATCAAAGAATTGTTTTATTTCGTTTCAAATTAAAATTCTTGCAGTAATTGTAATTATTTGAACAATAATAATAATAATAATACCTATTCCTAAGTTATTTACAAGAAGAGATTGCCTGCTATTCTATGCTATTCTATAGTATTTTATAATTTATAGCACAATAGTATTTCTCAATATGTGGTATGAGTTGCATAATTGTGATTGATTTGCATTCAAAGTGTTATCGAAAGTGAATTGGGAGCACAAGTAAGCATATCTAATCACCACGGTCATTGCCACCATGCTTTTCACTTATATTTTGCAACTATTTTTACTCAATTATTATTGTTATAATTTTTACAACTATCACTTTTAGTTTAAGTTGTATAACTTTTATAAATTAAATGACTGTGATCTTACTGAAGTCAGATGACCCCTCCCCCTCCCCCTCCCCACTAAGTTTTCTAATGTTATTCAATACGAGCATTAAATGTTAGCAAAGAATATGCGAATGTCAAACATCTCACATCTATTCGCATATTCTTTGCTAACATTAAATACTATTTAACAATCCTTTGCAATACAATTGAACTCATATTTGAATTGAAGTGCAATTTGAGGACAAATGCGAAGTCTATTGAGAAGTGGAGTAAATATAACGCGAATTACAACTCAATGCCTAAAAGGACCTCAAATTACGTGCAAATAATAAATGTGTGGACAAAACATAGCATTCATTGAAACACATTATAGTTGTTAACAAAGGGTTTGTTTCCACGCTTTACGTCATCTATGAATGCATTGAAACACAAGTTTTCGTTCATATGTTTTGAATGCAATTGAATTTTGCGTTAATTTAACCATTAATTGATTGTTTGGTTTAGAAGTGAAGACAAGTGATCACTGAAATCATGCCACCGAAGAAGACGTCGGCGCCTCAGCCCAGCAAAAAGACTGAGACCAAGAAGAAGGATAAGATCATTGAGGTATGCCTTCACACCATTGTGTGCCATGTTTTACACGTTTACTCTCCAGTAATGCAAATATATGTAACTTAAAAATATGTCCAAATCAATATTATGCTCCCTCTATAATACAAATAATACAAATATTGTATGATTGTTGATTTGGATATATTTTTAAGTTACATATATTTGCATTACTGGAGAGTTATGTGTTTGTTATCATTGATTGATTTGCACTTCAATTAAAGGACAAGACGTTTGGTTTGAAGAATAAAAAGGGAACAAAACAACAGAAATTCATACAACAGGTTCAGCATCAGGTCAAACAACAGGGCGTCAAACGGGTATAGCATTCAATCCATACCAATCCAGCCGTTGTTCACACCATTCATGCCATTCACTCACTCTTTAGCCCGAATTACTTCCCAATTCTGGTGTCGCGAAGAAAGACGAGAAGAAGAAAGAGTTGGACGAATTGAACCAATTGTTCCGTCCGGTGGCCACTCAGAAGGTGGAGAAAGGAGTGGACCCGAAGTCAGTGTTGTGCGCGTTCTTCAAGTCGGGTCAGTGCGGCAAAGGAGACAAATGTAAGTTCAGTCACGACGTGTCCGTCGAACGCAAGAGCGAGAAGAAGAACATGTATGAAGACAACCGACAGGAGGACACTATGGAGGACTGGGACGAAGA